AGAATTTTTGAGATCATCTCAAAAATACCACAAAAATGTCATTTGTTAAAAAACTTATACTTATTATTATTGAGGCAAACTGGGACAAAATTTTGAGAAGGGACCTCAATATTCCAGAATGAGCAACCTCAGAATTAACAAAGCAAGTTACAAGAGTTTTTCCGTATTTTAGACTGGGACAGAATTTTTGAGAAGGGTCCTCAAATATTCCATCAAGACTATCTTACAAAGGACGGACGAGCGTATAAGCCCACTGCATGAAGACAAAACCAACACAAATCAGTCTTTCGTGCTAAAAAAAATTCTTTGGATGCAGGAATATCGAAGTCACAAAAATGGCAATGTAAAGCTGTCACGTGTGACAAAAGGCGTCATTTACACCCATCATGGCCTCATCAACATAACTTAGAAAACTTTCCATCTCATTTTATCTTATTTCATTATGTTGCCTCAAGTGATTTAGAAACAGTCTCTTTTTATTTTGCAGGAATATTGAAGACAAACGCTAATAGATTCTTTCAAAGTTTTAAGAAACAACTTGTTGGAGGATTGCTAGTGATGAGTCATGATCAAAGTCACAATTAGGCTCACCACAACCTGATCTTGATAAGCCAAATAACTTAATCTAGCGCTTTATCTTTAATTTATTCTTTACTTCATCGTCGATACTAATGTTTGGTGTCAAGCTTTGCAGGTGATAGTATTGGTAAAGTCAGGATCATCTGTGAAATCGACATCAAATCTGAAGATGATCAAAAGTGACATTATCTTAGAAGTATTGCAAGGGAAAATTACCAAGTCCATCACATCAGAAAAGATGATGGAGATTGGAATATCCTCATGACATTCGAGTTATCAAATCGTTACAAGTTATCAATAACGATTGAAGATGTCAGCAACAAACTCAAATTTTGTTGAGTTTGTCAAAGAAGACGGGAGTGAATTTAATCTTCATGTGAAGGAATTAAGTCATTCAGCTCGATAATTCTATTTTTTAAAGAGAGAGTTATGGTCGCAACGTGCATATACGTCGATAAAGTTTTTTTTAGTATGATTGTCGCGTAGCAATTTAGACATACGTGTTTCTTTACAATGTTAGGGTCAAGATTTCAAAATTTGTTAGGTATCCACCCCATAAGTGGATTATATGTTTTGATTGGCTGATCAAATATTTTAGTATATAATTTTGTTGGGTGATCCACCCTATAAGTGATTCGTATATTTGTTTGTCCATTTCAGGTTCCTATTTTGAACTATGTTGGATAATTATCGAGCATCCACCTCGTTACAGCTGAGATATTATCGAGCCATCCACCTCGTTACAGTTGGAATAGTATCGAGCCATTCATCTCATTACATTTGGAATATTATCGAGTCATCCACCTCGTTACAGTTGGACTATTACCGAGCATCCACCTCGTTACAATTGGAATATTATCGATCCATCCACCTCGTTAAAGTTGGAATATTATCGAGCCATCCACCTCGTTAAAGTTGGAATATTATCGAGCTTCCACCTCGATACAACTGGAATATTATCAAGTCATCCACCTCGTTACAGTTGGAGTATTACCTAGCATCCACCTCGTTACAGTTGGAATATTATCGATTCATCCACCTCGTTATAGTTGGAATATTATCGAGCCATCTATCTTGTTATAGTTGGAATATTATCGAGTCATCCACCTCGTTACAATTGGAATATTATCGAGCATCCACCGAATATTATCGAGCTTCCACCTCGTTACAATTGGACTATTATCGAGCATCCACCTCGTTACAGTTGGATTATTGTCAAGCCATCTAGCTCGTTGCAGAGATCATCGGAGTTCGCCATGCACATAACAAGCAATGACATCTCCAAATCCTCACCAAATCATGAGTTAATGGACATACGGCGTTCGAAGGCGGTATCCATTATCTTTTACTCTCAATACTTCTTTATTTTCTCATCTAGTTGAAAAAGATGTTTATGCTTATCCATTAAGATATACTCTTTTATTATATGAATGATCTTTTTTTTTTTTTTATTCAAGCCACTAGCTAAAGCGGCACTATGTCTACTGATTGTTTACTTTGAGTGTGCAGATATATACTGAACATACCTATATGACATCTTTCAAAGCAAGAGTGATTTTAAAACACCAAGACGATGGTGTATCCACTGAAATGTGCAAGAAGATAACTGAAAAGCATCGTAACAGATGCTACCATTTTTCCAGTTACAGCTTCTACTAACAAGTTTATTTCAGTCTTTGTCGAGAGCATCCAAGAGGATGAATTCTCAAATCAAACCAGAGGTGCGGACGACATCAACAAGGATGCAGCACAAAGTGGAACTTTTTCTTAGCAGAGAACGGGGACATAGTCCGGAGAGGAGTACCAAACTCTTAGGACGCGAGCTGAGAAGCGACTTCCACCACAATCAAACCACACCCCTATCAAAAGGCATGTGTGTTTTCTTTGGGTTTTATCGGTTTCAATTTCTCATCCAAAAAAATTTGGTGTTTCACCGGAAACAACTTTCCAATCTGAGTGACAATGCGCCAAGAGCTTTGGAAATTATATTAGTGTAAGTTCTTACTTATGGGTGTGAAGCACGCCACAATTCATGGCTAAGAAGTTACAAGCCTCCTTTTCATACTCGACTTATTTTGTCTCTTCTCGACCAAAGATTATCTTGCATAATATATTTCCTTTTCAACTGATCGAGTCGAACTACAAACAGCCTGATTCCTTGGGTTGAAGGATATGTAGGCGGGCTCAATGTTGAAAACTCGGCTGTATTCCAACAATCTCTCTCAAATCTTAGTCCCGAGCATTCTGATTTCTTCATAATTTGATATCGGGATACCTTTTGAATTCTTTCAGAATCGTGCGTGAAATCAAGTCTGTTGAACTATAAGTGGCATAAATTCTCATATAGCCGGAGATATGTAGGAAACCCATTACCAGGGGTTCAACCATAATTCCTAAAGTCCGTACCAAAAACTCTTTTCTAAAGGATGAAGATGTGGTCGGTCAAAATTGGATCTGTCAATTTCATTTGCCTCAGATTTCTTTCATCAATCCAAGTCAAACGAGGGACAATTGTTGACTTTCAATATTGAACCTCCACAATAAAAATTAATCATCGAGCTTCTTAAATTCCAAACAATTTGAAATAATTAGTTTTTATAAAGTTCAAAATAATTTTCAAGTTAGTTTTAATTAATTTCATCATTTTTATAATTTTTAAATAGTATATTTTATAAATATTCGAAAGTCATCTCAAAAAGATTTTGTTTATTTGAATATTTGGCTAATTAGTTTAATCATTCAATAGTTTATATTTTTGAGTTAATTAGTTCGTAATTTAGTTGATTATTTTATTTCGTTAGAATTAAGAAGCTCATTAATTCGTCTTATTTTAATTTTGGCTAATTTCAACCAAGTGCCTCAATTTGATCGAAATTGCAATTTTACGTGGTTATTTTCTTAATTCAAATCGACCACATTCTTGGTTATCTTTTCGGACCCAATTCTTATTCCATTATTTCCAGCAACCAACAGACTTGGCCCAAACTTTCATTCAGCAATTGCCAACCCAACACCAATTCCTCCACCAACCCGGCCCAAGCCAAATCAAAAGAAACCAATACAACAATACTACGATCCAAACGTACAGCAATACCAAAATAGTACCCGACCGATCCGACCCTGTACTGTTCTTCTTCCTTGCGATAAAAAATCCAGGAAATCGCGAGCCCAGCGGATCAGAACCCGAACCAACAACCCATCCTCTCCTCTCTATACGAAGCAATCCAGGTGTTGCAATCTCAATGCTCGATCGTCCTTCTCTAGAAATCAGACGGCTCCCTTCATTTTTCAGTTGAAGAATTGTACAAGATCGTACTAATTCCAGCAACCTTATCCTTTAGAGGAGAATTTGAAATTCGAATGGGAATTCATCCAAAAACCCACCCAATTTCCCCCTTTTTCAGCCCTATTCTCCTCTATTTAAGCCTCTTTCTTCTTTATTGCTAGAGGCTGAAGAAAAGGTTGGGAATTTCAACTGATATAGAGAGAACTACCTAGCAAGAAATAGTTATAGAAATTACATATGAAATACGTTTGAAATAGATAGGAGGTTCAGTTTGATCTCACTGTCGTGGTCTCGTTCATTGAGACTTTTGGAGTTTCATTGTGGTGGTGATAGCACTCGTTTCAAGCTCGTCCTCCTGGTCTCGCTGCTCCGAAAAAGGTAATTCCTTTCCCTTTATTAAGTTCCTGCTTGTGTTGTTACCGTGTGTTATTGATTACCTTATTTCTTAATGTTCTACCCGACTCTTCTTAAATTCTTTCAATGCTCCGTCTTAATTTTATACAGAGCTTGTCGCGTTAGCATTCAGAGTTTGGTTTGTTTTCTATTAGATTTGTATAATCGCGATTCTTGTCTTAAACTCTGCTTGGCCGTAAAGTTCGACTCCTTCACTGTGTGTGGTGATATAGGTGTAATTGTAGTCATTTCTCTTTTGTTTTAATACACTGTTCCAAACTCTTTATCAATATTTATGGCTTAACTATTCTGTTTGAGAACTAGATAGTTTCAAGTCATTTATGTGGGATTCATGCTTCAGATAATTGTTTGCTAGCCATATGTTTTTTTTTTTTTGTATTTATTTAAAGAGTGTTGATTTATTTTTTCTTGTTTAGATGACCAAATTTATATATATGGGTGCATGCTTATCTTTGGTCTCGGTAGAAGCTTTAATGTGCAACATAGTATGTATAATTTTCTTTTTATTAATGCATGTTAATTGATGTGATAATGCTAATTACCATTTCATACCGCTTTGCTGCCTAAATTTGAAGTTTAGTTCAATTTTAGTTCTATTTGTTGACTTCTCTCCTTGTCGACTTGTTAATCTATTAGATTAAGTTGTTGGTCATTCAAGCACAATCCATGTATTAATACACTTAATAACCCTTTAACAAGTTGATATTTTTGCATGATGCAGTTACTGTCGTAGATCTTGTTCATTGATCAATTGCTAATTATTTTTATTTCATCTTGTGCATGATCTCTCTCCATCCGAGTCCATTTTGGACTCTCCCGTTTGCATATCCTCGAGTTTAAGTTCGATTCTACCTCCTCGATCCAACAAAGTTGAAAAGTAAGCTGAACTACAGGTGGAAGAGAGGCCGAGATACGGAAGGTATACATGTTGTATACGTTGAATTAACAAGATATACAAGAAGTATACAACGATATACGATGGTCGTATACGCTGTATACATCAGCAAAAATAGGGCCAAAAGCACCAAAAATTTCCAGCTTTGTATTTTGTTTAATTGGGCCGAAACCCATATATTTTAGAAATTATTTTGATAGTTTTAGGACAGGTGGAAGTTGGGCTAAAAGTCCAAAAGAAAGTTAATTTCTTATGATAGTTTAAGACAGGTACATATGAGCCAAAGGTCCAAAGCAAAAATTAGGTCTAAGTACTGGCCCAGGCGAATAGAAACCAGACTTGGGCCCAAATCTCCTTCTCTCCTTATTATATATTTCGTGTTAATTTTATTGTTAGTATATGCTTATTTGCTAATTAATTTTAAGGTTCTTAACTCATAATTCCCAAAGGACACCCATTTTGAGTTAGTTAACTTACAGTACTTTATCTTAAAATAACTAAGTATACTTGTCTTTCCAAATTGATTTGTAAAAATTTTAGAAGCTTTTCTCTACTTAGACATTTTAGATAATATATTCCCTTTCCTCTCTAAATGATTTTAAGTTATAAAATTTGTTTATTCCGTAACTAGTCAAGCATGCCTATTGTTAGCTAAATATTTTAATTTTCGGACAACCGCAAGTAAGCGGACGTTTTAGGTGCTTTCAAAACCTTCCTAAAAAGTTAATATAAACCCCGAACCCCGTTTAAAGATTTTCATTAGATTTTCTGTTTTTAATCTTTTGAAAAATAGTTTTCTTAATTTTTCTTTAAAAATTAAGTGGCGACTCTTAAAACCCGTAGTTTTCTTTTTTAAAATATAAAACAACTATACCCTTATTCTCGCATTATGCGCATTTCACATAGAGATGTTAAGTAACAAGTAATCTTTGTTGTAATTACGTAACACCAATGTTAACTAATCGAATGTTTCCTCATCATGCAATTTTTGTGTTTATGAGCTTAATATTGTGTCACACCTCCATCATGAGGTAGGACTAGAGCTATCTATTTCAGTCCATATTTATAAAATCAACTCATTTAATTAATTTTTTAATTTTAACGAAGTTGGGTCACTTGTATTTCAGTTGAGTAAATATGAGTTTCAATCTATTTTTAACCCATAAAACTATGAACAAATATGGGTATATATCCATATACGAGCTCGCATTTTTAAATAGAAGGAAAAAAGTTCCTTAAAAATTGAGGCAAAACAATTTCTAGATCAATAAAAACACACCAATGCATCCTCAATCTCCCTACCTACTCCACTTGTCAGGAATTGGGACCCGAACCCGTGTCAAGATCAATAGTTGGGTTCTGGATCTTGGTTCAGGATCGAGAGTCAAATCCCAACTTGGAATCGGGGTTGGGAGTTGGAGTCTGGGCCGAAAGTCAGGTCTCAAGTCGGGGAGAAGAGTTGGGTCTCAAGTCGAGATTTAGGTCGGGATTTGGGAGTTAGGTCTCAGGTCAGAAGTTAGAGCTAAGTCTCGAGTCGTGATCAGGAGTTAGGTACAAATCCCCAATCCCAAATAAGGATCGAAAGTCGGAGTCGGGAGATGGGTCTCAGGTCCTACCATAGGACGCAATTGACACCCAACTCTAACTATGTATCGAGGGAACGCTATCTAACAGACTAATTTACTAAGTTGTTTTAATTCAAATAAAAATCAAGCCATAGCTAACAATACTATTATGCTTAAGTCTGCAATTAAATACTAAAAGTCTGAAAGCTTTACTGTCAAGGCCTCAAGGGGGAGAACAACAACAACGTTTGGTGAAAAATTATCATCAGCTTTAAGAGGTTAATTTCCCTTCTTTGATTCTAGGATTTCTTTACCAAAATAAGCCATTATAAAATCAATTATTCATCAAAATAATACTTTTTTTTTTTACAAAATTGGTACAAACGTGCATCATAGTAACGAATTATAATCAGAATAACGAATTATAAAATGTTATTGACTGTAACATTTTATGTTTTTTTAATCCATTAGACCTTTATTTATTTTGTCATTGAATTTTTTTTGAATAAAATATAGCCTAAAACGTTATTGAAAAAAAATACGTTTATACTAGTTTTGTAAAATTTTAAAAAAATAATGTATTATTTTGGTGAATTAATTTTAATAATAGCTTATTTTGATAATAAAAAATTGATTCTACTAGAGTTTAATGAGATGATTTTCGTTGGGTATTGAAAGTTTTAATACCAATAAGAAATATTACGAGCAACAATAATTATATTATCGTTTGAGCTTCTTCCTTTTTTAAATACCACTAAGTAGATCTTTGTGAATATATTTTATTAATATATAAAAATTCAACATAAAGCAAAAATAAAAAGAAACAAAAAATGGGAAAATAAATAAGAAATTGACGGATCCTCCAATTCTATCTACCCACACACCAATTAAGAAAGTTGATTTATGAATAATTTTTAAATTGTTTGGTATATGGCATTGACAAATAATGGATAAATGAGATTAAAGTTAGTTCGAATCAAACATGCCCAAAATTTTAATTTATGAATTCTAGATTTAAAAAATATTACTCCCTTCGTCTCAATTTATGTGGCACTTTTCGAATTTCGAAATTTAAACAAATTTATCTTTGATCGTAAATTTTTCATATATCTTATAATTATTTTGAATTGTCAATTATTATGACTTATAGTACTTTTTACACAGTTTACAAATATATAAATTTCATTTCGAAAAAATTGAAGATTCCACGCGCAAATTTTCCGTCAAACTTAAATTGTTTGACTCTCGAAAAATGAAAAATATCACATAAATTAGGACAAAGGGAGTACTTACTAAGTTCTAGATATATTATTATATATATTTTTGTAATTGTTTTTAATATAAATACAAAATTTTAACAAAAGTTTATATTAAAATTTGTTACCAAGAATTAGGTCAGAAGAAATATATATTCTCTTATATACAGAGACCGTTTGTGTTGCGTCGACGTGCCTGTTTTCAGCGTGTTCTTTAAAAAAACTTAAAAAATAATATATTTTTTGTTCTATTTTAATTTAATTAGCGTATAATTTTTTCGCATCTGCTTCAGTGTGTTCTTTAAAAAGAACTTAAAAATTTATTTCTTTTGTTCTACTTTAATTTAATTAGCGTATAATTTTTTCGCATTTATTTCTTTTGTTCTAGTTTATTTTAATTAGTGTATAATTTTTTCGTATCTGTCGATGTGTCTGCTTCAGCGTGTTTTTAAAAAAAAAACTTAAAAATTTATTTATTTTGTTCTACTTTAATTTAATTAGTGTATAATTTTTCTGAAATTATGGAATCCGTTTTAGCTATGAATTTTAGTTTTAAGTTCAAGAAGACATGCATGCTTCAGCGTGTTTCGAAAAAATATTTCAAAAAAAATTACTTCTTTTTTTCTACTTTAATTTAATTAGTGTATAATTTTTTTGAAATTATGGAATCCGTTTTAGCTATGACTTTTAGTTTTAAATTCATATTCTTTAGTTATTGCTTTATGGAATCCGTTTTAGCTATGACTTTAATTATTTCGAACGTCGGTAATGTTTGTTTATATCTTATAACTACTTTGAGTGAAAAATCAACGATCGATGACAAAAAATACATTAATTATGAGCATCTTAATGAAACTCTTCACAATAAATTTGCACAAATAAAAAGTAATTAACAACTTAAATATATAAAAATCATATCAAAATTTAATTAACTTTTTAAATTCTACCTACATCATATAAATTAAAATTAAAAATATTAAGATATTAAACCCGTGCTAGCACGAACACCTTTTATACTAGTAAATAGATAAGAACCACAAATAAGTCAATATCTCTAATCACGCCGAGCTTGCAAAATAATTGAGGGAAAGAATGGATCATTGACTTAGAGTCAACGATTTCTCATTCCTTTTTCTCATTGCCAACAGTATTTTGAGTTGAAAGGCCAAAACAAGGCCACGTATCAAGATACTGGTTTCAATTATTGATCTTGGGTGTGTCGATATATTTTCATCAAAAATTATTTAATATAAAAAATAAATTGATATAGAAGTAGAAAATATTATCTTAAAGAATTTTATGTAGAGTTAAAATAAATATTATAGGAAATAGGGTGAGAGTTGGTTGTTGGGTGCAAGGGTGGAGTTCGGCATCACTTTTTTGGAGAAAAAATATACTATTTATACATTATTGAAATTAGTTTTTATGTATATATAATAGATAAAAATTCCCTTCGATTTTTTTCCTATGTTTACTTCTTCATATTGTGAATATTTTAGTGAAAATCTCGACTCTATTACTTATAGAGTGGTGGGGGTGGAGTATATGGGATGAGGATTAGATGCATTGAAAGGTGAGAAAGAAAATAATTAATGTAGAATGTCACTTATAAAACTTGTTTTCTATATTTCCACTCGAAAAGACAATTTCCTAATTATTAAGAAACTTAAACTTTAAGATAAAATTATTTTTATAAATTTTGATCAATCAAATATAAAAAAAATTTAAAAACTTTTTCGAAAAATATTTTCATCCATACCAGACACACCCTTTTTCCCCTTTATAAATCCAGGAGAAGCAAAGAGTAGAAGTGACCAACATAAGAAAAAACACAGCCTAACCAAAGAGGTAACTTTCTGCACCATCTCATTTTATGCTAAACATTACAAGATAATTATCTATGCAAAATAACTCATACTTTTATTTGAGTCTTGAGATTCTTACTTGATATTAGTTTTTATCTTCTATTTTATATTTGGTGTTGAATATTTACTTTGGGGATTGATTATTTCAAAATCCTGCTAGAAAGCTTCATATTGAAGGGTGAAGTACTCTCTTTACTAAAGGTAACTTCATTCACCCAATTTAACCCTGCGAATTTTAGCATGAATAAAAGAATATTAACCACTCAATCATAACAATCTTCCATGGTTACCATATTACAATTTTAAATATTTTAATAGTATACCATTTTGATACTATACTATTTTCACCTCATACACTATTAAAAATAAAGTTTTTTTCTATAGTGGATCAATGAGTAATTTGTGCTACGAAGAAAAAAAATCACTCATTTTCCATTGAACTAGTTCACTGAAAAAGAATGAATGATGGAAAGTAAAATCTCACTGAAATAATGAGAAACTCTCTAAATTTTTTTCATATGAAAACATTACAATTTTATTTCTTACTTATTCAGTTAAAATATTTATAGAAATGACCACTAAACATTTTTCAGTAAAAAATATTTTTTATTATCCTGATATCTTTCTTTTGTAGGAACCATACATCAAGAAAGGAAAGTTGTCAAAGAGGGATGTCACACTCTATTGAGATTACCCCAATAGATGATCAATGTCCACTTCTTCATCAAACTAAAAAAGATAATGTCTCTCTCTCGAAGTCAAACATATATGCATTACTTTTTTTTTTTCTTTTTGTATAAAATGCAAGATTGAAATTGTTTCAAAATCTAATTAGAATACTAAAGATTTTATTGTATCGTATCATTGTATAAAATGGAACAAGGTAAACCAAAATAATTTTCATATATTCACAACTCAAGGGATCTCAATTTTTTTTTCTTTTAGCAATTGCCAAAAGTAATAGTAATCCCTTTTATTGGTTGGTAACTATTATATATTTTATAATTTACAATAATACCCTTTCTCATTCTATTTTCTTCCTTACCCTATGTATAGAATTTCAAAGGTTGAAAATACAAAAAGAACTCATTCTTCTCCATAATCCTTTTTGTAAATATCTCCATAATGTTGCAAAAAATAATGATTATGTTCTACTCATTACAGATAGAAGAAGCAGGAAAAATAAATGGTCAATATACCAATAAATCTGCAAATCATATCATTGATGAAAAATTGAAGGATTTGGACAAATATACATCTAAAAAATTCATTGCCATATTCAAAGTAAACGTAGGGCTACGAAAATCAAATCCAGATGCTTATACACCAATGTTGATCTCCATTGGTCCTTACCATAAAAAGAATCCACAACTTGGTTCAATGGAAAAGTACAAATTGATGTACCTACGACGATTTCTCCAGTGTAAAAGGGGGCTTGATGTGGAACATTGCATTACTGAAATTGAGAAACTTAAAGGCATAGCACTAAAGTGTTACGATGATATAGAGAACTTGGACAATGATATCGTTGACAAATTTTCAGAAATACTTTTACTAGATGGATGTTTCGTGGTTGAGTTTATTCGAGAGTGTAGTGGAATGAAGCCTAATAGAGAAGACAAAATAATAAGCACAAATTGTATGATAAACCTTGTACTTCGAGACTTGTTGTTACTAGAAAACCAACTTCCTTTCTTTGTGCTAACCAAGCTTCAATACATGACAAAGGAAGTTGATGAAGTACCAATCACAAAACTAGTAAAGGAGACTTTTTTTTCTATATTACCAAAGATGGCTCATGCATCCTATCTTGAGAGGGAAGGTGATGTCAAATGCATCAAACATTTGCTTCAACTCGTACACATGTCGTCTCATCCTTCATACTATAATCTTTATGGCATGTTCAAGACTTAAGTTTGAAGATTATATCAAAAGATCAAGACTACCAAACATGGCATGCCAATATACCTAACATAACAGAGCTTTGCGAAGCAAGAGTTAGATTTTCAAAAGTTGGAAATACTTATAGTGACCTTGAAGATAGGACAACTTTGTTTGATATCAAATTTGAGAATGGACGGATGCAAATTCCTTGTTTTGAAGTTGATGATGTAACAGAAACCCTCCTGAGAAATCTCATTGCCTACGAGCAACAAACATGTGATGTACTTCCTAAACATTTCAGTGATTTTGCAGTGTTCATGGATTATCTTACCGACTCAGACAAAGATGTGAATGTACTTCGTCGAAAAGGAATCATAAGCAATAATCTAGGAGAGGACAATGAATTAGCTACCATCTTTAATAAAATTGGGCAAGGGGTCAATGTCTCAAGTGATTTCTATTACAAAGAAGAATGCAGAAAAGTAATTCAACATTGTGAACAACCATGGAACAGAATGAAGGCAAATTTGAGGCACAATTACTTCAATAGTCCTTGGGCAGGAATTTCAACTGTGGCAGCCATCATACTCCTCTTATGCACAGCTATACAAACTATTCTAGCTTTCATAAGCCTTTTTAAGTAGTTGTTTATATAAAATTATGTGTTTTTAAGGGATTAATATTGTATCGAAGTTGTATTGATGGATTTCAGAATGTGTTCCATCTTTAATTAAATGATGGGATAATACATATTTTCCCTCCCAAACTTAAATTTGGGGTCCTATGGCGATCCTCACATACTAGCTCAAATTGATATAAACACCATGCCCTGAGACCTAATGTGGCATAAAGAGTGCATAGTAGCTTTGGAGAAGTAAGGGTAGATGAAAAATCGTGAAAAGATGAAAGAAAAACAATATATAAAAATGACAGGAGAAAAAAAGTTATGTGGATCACATGTTGTGTGAGCACCACCTTCCAGCCACAACGGTTTGATTTGTTACATTAAAAATAACTTGCATTACATAATTTCTAAAACCATCCTTGCAAAATTGGTGGGCTATGAAGTCTTGTAACAGAGTTCAGAAACTTCTTCTGCAATCAATTCATGTTATTGTTTGTTGGGAGATATGGAAATCTTGAGAGAAGAATAAATTCTATTATTATCATATGATAAAGCACTGTATAGGGAACATCAAATTAAGGTTGACAATTTGTCATTAATGACTCATTTCCTACTATGATTTTTAAACAACATGAAAATGGTCGTCAGAAGAAATTAATCGTGTCGATTTTTTTCCGTTTTCTACTTCAAAGGGAAATTCAAAATTTAAAATTTATATGTTCATACAGCGACCTCAAGTAAATAATCTGAAAATGTACATAAATTTTGCGATACGAGCGGACATTGACTGCCTTTTATTGCTTTCTCTTTTCTTTTTCAAATCAATTTCTGCAACAAATTAATTGCTTTGGATTATTAACAATAATAGTCCTGGTATATATTGTTGGGATTTATGCAGTTTTGATGATTAACAAAGAAAGATGAAACACGTCAGTCAACATGATCCAAAGGTACACTGTCACAAACAGTTAAATTCGGGGCAAACTCTTAAAATGAATAAAGCCAAGTGTGTTGAAATCAAGGAATGAATGATGTTAATTTCGTGATAAATCTCAAGGAAATAAACATTGGGTGAATTAAAGAGAAAGAATCAATGAGTTTGAATTAGGGGATTTGTCGTGAGTGGCCATTGCAACAATTATTGCAGGAGTTTCTTTCTTCAATTCCTCATGTTTGAGGAAGAGGCCATAATCAATTAGTTTCGCATACAATTCTTCAGATGAGATGATGGAATCTCTTGCAACGGAAATTTCACAAAAATTTAACCCATGATCACTCAGTACTTTCACTACCAACTGATTGTTGGTAATTGTAGCACCGGCAGTGGCGAGCTCATTGTAGATAGAGCATACTTAATGGAGATAATTGATGAATGGACCAGAATCCTTTGATAGTCGTGTGAGCTAATCACGAAGGCTGAAAATTCACGTTTGGGACTTGTTGGCATAAATCAGATGCAAGGAGTCCCAAGCAATTAGGAGTGGAGGCAACAACCACGGTTGAAGCAATTGTCAGGTCGACATAAGCCATTATTGCATTCTGGATCAATTGATCCTGGCGGAACCAAGTGTTGTAAGCTAGCTTTGCCACTTCTTTACTATTTTTGTGATAGTTGATGAAGGAGCGGGAGAAGAATTGTCAAGATGTCCGAACAAATTGTGTCCACACATAAGCATGGAAACAACAACTGTTAGGGTTGCTGCCAGTAGATTCTACATTCCTTACGTTCTCAAGCATGTTAAGAGTGAGTTTGTGATGGTAGTCAAAGCGTGAAAAAGAATCCCTGAGAATTTAGATCGATGTGAGCTATGATACCATATAAGTAATTGAGCAAGATGAAACAAAAGACTGTTTTATTATTCGATAAAGAACTAATATATAAATTCCTACCATGGAAACTAAACCAATAAATTAGGAAAATAAGAGAATAAACTCTTAAAGTGGTGCATACATATCTAACAAACTATGTCGTAAAACAGTAAACAGTAACAACATGTGAAGTGCAATAACAGTAATTACGTTCTAATAATAACCACACCTCAAAAATATTAATTTACTCAGAGCTAGAGAATCACTGAGACAATTCCACTCCATTTTTTATTTTTTTACATTATTTATCTTACTCTAGTTGAACCTAATGTCATAAGCTTTAATTCCATTGTCTCCAAAAATACCAAAGTGTCTCTCAAACTCCTCCCCACTTTTTCCATTCTCATCAAACATATCAAACAAAAAAATGTCCAAGCCAACTCCAGGCCACTTAGGCGTGCCAACATTGTTCAAAGCTCTTCTCACAATATTTTCATTATAAGTAAAGGCATTGTCAATGCTCGCGCCATCAGTTCCAGAAGTTGGCCATCCTGTCTCTGTGACCATCACAGGAATATCATTAAATCCTTCCTTCTCCATGGCATAAACAAATGCATCAATGGAAGCATCAAACATGTTGTCATAAGCCAAGTTCTTGTCATATTCCATGTATGATGACCTATTTAATAGTGCATGGTCCAATGAAACATACTTTGGATTGTTAATGTAAGCGAAAAAGGGGTAAACATTCACCATTAATGGCGATCTTGTGTCACGTAGAAATTGTAATAAAGGAACAAGAAATTGTTTGACATTAGATTCAAAAGTTCCAAATGAAGGAGGGTATGAATTGGAAAGTATGGTAGATGCATGAGAAAAAGAAACCTTAATGGTTGTAGCTAGGCCTAATGTTTGAAGAGCTTGATAAAGTTTTGAAATTGAAGGAACTATATAAGGGGAGTAAAATGGATCTTTAAGGAATATTTCATTGCCAACTACTAAATATTTAACTTGATTAGGAGAAACATAGGCAAAAATATTTGATTGTAGCCATTTTATGGAGGTTTTCACAGGACTATTAGCTAGGGTAGGTAAGATTTCATTAGGTACTCCAATCAAAAGATCAATTCCAGTTCCAGAAAATGGTTGTAATACTTCTGGATGAGGATTGAATAGACGAATTCTCGAAATGTCATTTGATTTTATGACATTGATAGCTTCTGATGGTGGTGGAAGGTTTGTACCTACGCGGCCATAACATACTCCAATTGTTGCTTCAACTGCAAGGAATTAAATCACTAAGGTTGTGGAATTGTAGGAGACACAAAATTGAAAAATGAGTATTGAAAGTTCACATTTTTATTTTACACTATTAGGTTAAAATAAGTTTAACATAAATACATTGATAGTGTAAGTAAATGTTGACATTAATTATTAGTACCCTAGCAAGTTGTTAGTACCTGATAGCGTAAAAAATATTTACACGATCGATGAATACTGGTTGAACTCTAGACTAATTACTATTGTTGGTAGCTATTCATATAGTCTATACGGTAAATATTACTTCCTCAATTTAAAAAAGAATGACCTAGTTTCCTTTTTAATCTGTTTCAAAAAGAATGACCCATTTCCTTTTTTGGCAACACTTTAACTTCAATTTTCCACGTGACATGTTTAAGGCAACAAGATTAAAGGGCATTTTGGTACATTTGACATTTCTTCTTTCTTTTCTTAAACTCCATTCCAAGTCAAATTAGGTCATTCTTTTTTAAACGGATGGACGATGGAGTAATATATTTACTCTTGACTTCTCAAATCTCAGATTTAGTGTCAATATAATATAATTCCCACTATATTATATTTAACGTCAATAATAAAAATGAGTATTTATAACCAACATCCTATATAAATATTGTTAAAGGCTTTAGCGACTCCAGAATTAATGAGATTAACTCAATTACTGCTAAATATCTCTTTTGTTATAATGATATTAAAATACACTAACAAAAGTTTTTACACTGTCGAAACATATAAGTTAAGACTTCGTTGAAAAAATTGTATTGGAATTAGAAGAGAAGGAATATAAATGATCATTAGGAACCTGTGGAATAATTCCAATGAAGAATGAAGGCACAGTATATAACCAAAAGGACGTCTTGAATTAACATTCCCATAAGTGTACTTGATTTCATTCACTAAATTTCTTTTCTCTTTGCTAGGAGTTCTGGGAAATCTACAACATAAAATATCATGGGGAGACATGGTTCAGATTATTCTCTTCTACGTAATTTTCTTCATGAGTATGGTTCTTGGTTACTTCTTGGTGTGGTTTGGTTGAATTCTAGGTTGATACTCAAGTATACTTCTTTTTCGTTTTTTATAATGAACTAATTCTAAAAGTTTGTAAGTTTTTTAAAACAATTCAACTTCATAAGTTGTTAAATTTTAAACTATCGAAAAGAAATTTTATTAGATAAAATTACTTAATTAATTTATAATAAAATTTAATGAAGTATAAACTTTACCTCCGATTTAATTAGAACTTTCCGCATACTTGAACGTAGAGCTATTCATGGTTATGGTTAAAAAGTCAATTCAAATTATAATCCGAACAAAATTTTAAAAAAAATGATATTTGGTTTGGTTTGATTTGGTTAGGTTTGATTTTAAATTTTGAAAACCGATAATATTTTGGTTTGGTTTTGGTTTTACTAAATACAAACCACAAAAATAATCAAACCGAACCGAGAAATTAGATATACAAATTTTATAATTATTTATATATTTTCATAAATTAAATACAAATATTTTGTTAAATTTTAATTAACTTAACTCTTTAAGTTTACCATTTTCTCAAGCCCAACACTTAAAATTTTAGCCCAACTATTACAACCCTAAATCCAAGTCCCTCAAAATCCATTACATTAGTCTTTACCTATCCTACCTCACATAAAATAGTCACACTTTCTATTAATTGAATCACTTTGTTCGTGTAATAATAACTCTATTATTGCTTAATTGAACTCACAGTTAGGGGTGTGCATCGATCGATTCAGTTTTATGTATTATCGGTTCGATTTATCGGTCTTCAGTTTTTAAATACACTAAATCAATAACCAAAACAATAAGATATTTTTTATCGTTTTTGGTCCTTAACAATTCGGTTTTTGGTTTAACCAATAAGAAAAATGCTTAGAAAATAAATATATAACTTCTCTAATAAATTTGACGCGACAAGACAATAATGTAACTTTACAAATGCTCATAAAATAGAAACAATAATAACAAACATGAAAAGAACTATACATGTGTAACACAAAGAGAAATTAAGAGGAATAGGGTTCTTACCTTAGGTTTTGACGATTTGTATAATGTAAAGTTGTGAACTCAAAGTCACACTGAAGTATATTTTGAAGGCTAAATCACAAAGACATAACTAGTAAGATATTGAGATAAATATTTAATACTTATGTATAGGTAAAAGTTGTAAAATAGTATAGTCTTAATTGTTTATTGGCTTACCCAATAACCCAATATTGAAAACCAATAACTCAATATATTTTTTTTATAAAACCATTACAAAATCGTTAACCCAATAACCCAATAACAATAAACCAATAACACTTTTTTCGGTTCGATTTATTGGTCGGTTCACTTTATCGGTCGGTTCGACTTTCGCACACCCCTACTCTTGGTAGATTTACTGTGGATTGCTCATATACTAGGTGACTGTGTCTATCAAGATACGTATGTCCTCAAAAAAAATATTACTTTCAAATTTAAAAAAATAGAAAACTCGAACCAAACCGATGGTAATTTTTTTTCATTTTGTTTGATTTGGTTTTAGAAATTTAAAAACTTACTAGATTGATTTGATTTTTATTTTAATCAATAACTGATCCAAACTTAACCACGAACGCCCCTACTTGAATGAGCCTCACAAGTCACAAGATAATTAGCCTTCTAAAGGTTATGTTTAACACACAAGTTAATCCTAGGAATAGTGGCTACTGAAATTGTCAAATTAATACTCGAAAATACCTATAACTATTTATAATATAAATCTAAGGGAAAAGGGTCTGAAAAATACTCCAACTTTAGCCGAAATTGTTGTTACGATACCAAACTTTACGGAGGACCAATTACCCCCTAGACTATTTAATACCCTATTTTAAATATATATATTTGCCCAGGTGGTCAAGTGTGTGAAAGCACGACGCACAGGCACATAGGGAATGAAATAAATTTTTTTATGCCCAATCAATAAATGTCACGTATCAATACAGTGATTAAACTATATCTGTTTCTTTTTACCTCTAATTCTAATTCATTTTACACCCTTTCTCTTTCGCTGGAATACAAATCTGAAAACCACCATTGAAGGGCTTAACAGGTAAGCTTTGTATTAAACAAATTATATTCTTTAATTTCAGATTATTTTTTTTGTTGGTCTTATTTGTTCTATTGTTATTTAGGGCTTCTAATTTCTTTTCTCAGATTTGTAAAAAAAAATTGTTAGGGTTATCCATGGAAGATGTAAAATTGAATTTGAATAGCATTTGTTTTGATAAAAATGATCCAAAGTTGAATGAAGAAGTGCGATGCTTTCACGATTTGTTGCTCCCTTTAAAAACTTCTTGGTCTGATAATAATGCGGGTAGAAGATTTTGGTCTTGTCCATACTATGAATCACAAAAGTGTAAATATTTTCGATAGAGGGATGATGTGGTTAATGAACGATTTAAGTTCATCATTCATAAGTTGGTGAAGAAAATGAAAGACATGAATGAACTATTAGTTGCAAATGTAAATAAAATGAAGGAGATGGAAGAAATCAATAGTTATAATGATAGACATTACGGAGATGGAAGCTCAATCTGTCTTTACCTAGTTGGAAGAACAATCTAGTGTGAAACAGATGGGAGGAGTGCTTTCAGACTGTGAAGAGGTAGACAAACTGATTGAGGTGAAGAAGAAATGGAGTAGCTACTGTAGCCTTATTGACAAACCCTAACAATTTTTACTTCAACAAAATCAACAATAACGTCAATAGTAACTAAACCCTAGATAATTTTTGCTGAAAAATTCAATTCTAAGGTTAGACGACATGAAAAAGGACTAACCTTTAAGAACTATTGATTTCTTAGTTCAGTTCAGGAATAGTCACAGAACGATTTCATACACGCTATCAAAAAACACGATCAAGAAACGCTATCAAGAAACACGATTTCGGACACACTATCAAGAATCCTCAACAACTAACACGATTTGGTCTTTGATTTCTTCTTTGGCCTAAGTGAAAGAAAGTTTGGGAACGAGACAGGTTTAGGAGTGACGATTGATTTCCTCTTTTTTGACATTTCAAATATATTTATTAAAAGGGAACGAATTGACTAATTTGATTAATTTTATGAATTAAAACGCGCGTGTGACACACTCAATTAAGATAGACCGAGTATGGGCAAATATATATTTTAAAATACGGTATTAAATAGTCTAGGGGGGTAATAGGTCCTCCGTAAAGTTTGGTATCGTAACAAAAATTTCGGCCAAAGTTGAAGTATTTTTCAGACCCTTTTCCCTAAATCTGGATATATATAAGGTAATGTGGCACCTCTCTATGGCCTTCAAATAGATTTATCTTTTTCCCTTTTTTTTTTACTTTTTTTCTCATTTTAAAATTAATTGTGATATGTAAAAATAAAAATGTCACTCTTTAAATGTGTTAGTTACACCTCTTAAATATAGTTTCTCCTCCCTCCCCTATAGTATGTTACATAGTTATTATTGTATTGTTGGAGTTTGAGCTTTTAATATAATATAAATAAATAAATATTGATATAAAATGTAGAAGATATACTACATTGGATGGTTTTAGTTGGAGTATTATATTAATTTAACATTTAAGTTATAGAGTGTTCAAATTCCACTGAACTTTGAGATTCTCAACATCTGTAAATCACACTTGAGTGTTTAAGATGAGAAGAATAGAAAACTTAAAAAAAAATCGTAGTTTAGAATGTGAGAAAACCCCTCCTTTTATAGTTAATTACAAAGGGCAGTATGAACATGTGCTAATTGTGTTTAATAATAAAAGTCACAAGCCTTCAGAAAAGTCACAACCCTTCGTAAAGGTCACAACTCATCGAAAAAGTCACAACTCTTTGAAAAGGTCGTAATCATTCAATGCGAAAAGGTGTGTGCTTTTAAAATAAAATAAAATAATATAAATAAATATAATATAAAACATAGAAGATATACTAAATTGGGTGTTTTAAGAATTAATTAAGAACAATAGAAAACTTTAAAAAATCGTAGTTTTAGAATGTGAGAAAACCCCTCCTTTTATAGTTAATTACAAAGGGCAGTATGAACATGTGCTAATTGTGTTTAATAATAAAAGTCACAAGCCTTCAGAAAAGTCACAACCCTTCGTAAAGGTCACAACTCATCGAAAAAGTCACAACTCTTTGAAAAGGTCGTAATCATTCAATGCGAAAAGGTGTGTGCTTTTAAAATAAAATAAAATAATATAAATAAATATAATATAAAACATAGAAGATATACTAAATTGGGTGTTTTAAGAATTAATTAAGAACAATAGAAAACTTTAAAAAATCGTAGTTTTAAAATGTGAGAAACCCCTCTTTTATAGCCAACAAAGGGTAGCATGAAAAAATATTTATTGTGTCATATCAAAAAAGTCACAACCCTTTAGAAAAGTCACAACCTTTCAGAAAGGTCATAACTCATCGGAAAAGTCACAACTTTTTGGAAAAGTCACAACCCTTCGAAAAAGTCATAACTCATCAAAAAGTCATAACTTTTTGGAATCATCACGACCATTCAATCTGAAAATGTCTGGTTTTAATATAATATTTTATAGTATAAATAAATATGATATAATATAATATAAAATATAGAAGATATATAAAATTTTGTGATTTAAGTCGGGGGTATTATAATAATTTAATATATATATATATATATATATTTGTCTAATTTTAATTTGATACGAAATTTTAAAAAAAATAAAGAAGACTTTTAATTTAAGGATATGCACATTATACAAAAATATTTTCTTATCTTTGTGGTCTTAAATATGTAACATGAAGTGTTAGAATTAAAGAATATCCACATCTCCCCCCACAAAAAGAAACATTTTATTATAAAC